GTGTGTGGTGAGGGCTTTTACAGACTTAAAACAGATATAATAATTATAAAAAATAAAGCTGACTACTTCTACTACTACCCTACTTATCATGGGTTATTTTTAGAACATAACCCCAGGATAATTGAGGGAACAGTGTATTGCAATACAGTTATGTTACCAATGTATAAGAGTGACTCTTTGTCCACACTTCTATAGTTCATGTAGTTTAATGTAAAATGTCTGAAAAATTCGATTGTGTTAGATTAAAAGACGGGGGTGGGATTAAATAAATTTTCTTCTTCCCACTCCTTTTTGGGCCTTTTTTTTTTTTTTTTTTCGTTGTTGTTATTTTTGCTATGATTTCATTAATGTTACATGTTCTATTATAAAAGAATGTAAATTTCTCACTTGCTCAAAATAAATACATAAATCAAATTCTCTATGTTTTTTATGCAGTTTTACAAAAAAAAAGAAAAACAAAAATTTATTCTAAATTAAAGTCGACTGAATTAGGAGGGCTTCCTGATGGGATACAGGTGGGTTAATATAAGTTTTTATTTTTTGAGAAATGTGCTTTTCTGTTGTTTAGAATGTATATGGAGTATACATGATTATTATTTCTCTTTTGGCCCAAACTTGAAGTAAAAACAAATCAAATCAAAATTGGTCAGTGCTTCGTGGAGGAAGAAGGGATAAGAACAGTAGAAGGGTCAAGATCGTCAGCTCACACAGGGACGGCAGCAACGCTCTGATCAGTATTTTATTCCCATCCTCCAATCCCCTTTAAAAAGTTGAATATTATAGAGCCACAATCACACGACGGAGTGACGTTTTTGAAGTGACTTTCTTTTCAACGCCAGTCGCCACATTTACGAAGAGGAAATTGTCAATGTAAAGTAATGCCCAGCTTCTCTCAACTCATCAAATTCTCCACAAATAATGCCACAAATGACTTCAAATTGCACATGACAATAGACAAAAACATCCGGAAGCAACACGAGGTTAAAGAGGATGACGCAGGCCATCATACAGATCTACAGTATATTCGGCTTTCCTGAACGAGCTCTATTTACACTTAAGCTACAAAACACAAGTACGGTGACTTCCTTTGAGATTTTGTCCCCTAGATTTTGTCTTAACTCTTTAGATGTCATTGTATTCTTTCTTTTTTCCTTTTCTTTGATAAATTGTCTATTAATTTGCGTACTATGCTAAAAAAAAAGTTGGGCTTCTGGACACGCAGAAGGAAGGGAGAAGTTACGCAGCTGTGGAAGAGTCCTGCACCGGGTCGGGTACGGGCAAAAAGTTGCTGAAATGTGCAGGTTTTAACATTTTGGAATTTTACAGGCGGGTATGCGGGCGGGTAGTGATTACACACGGGCGGGTCAAGACTAAACCAGGACTAAACCAGGACTAAACCAGGTCTAAACCAGGTCTAAACCAGAACTAATCTTGGACTTAAGAGAGAGAACCCCAAGCCCGTGGAGCAGGGTGTCTGCAAAGCACGAGCCCATCCTGACAGTGAGTCCTGGTTCCGTTCTGGTTTAGTCCTGGGTTAGTCCCTGGTTAGTCCTGGTTTAGTCCTGTTTTAATCCTAGTTCAGTCCTGGTTTATGCCTGTTTTAGTCCTGTTTTAGTCCTAGTTCAGTCCTGGTTTATTCCTGTTTTAGTCCTGTTTTAGTCCTAGTTCAGTCCTGGTTTAGTCCTGTTTTAGTCCTAGTTCAGTCCTGGTTCAGTCCTGGTTTAGTCCTAGTTTACTCCTGTTTTAGTCTTGTTTTAGTCCTGTTTTAGTCCTAGTTCAGTCCTGGTTTAGTCCTGGTTTAGTCCTGTTTTAGTCCTGTTTTAGTCCTGTTTTAGTCCTGTTTTTGTCCTGTTTTAGTCCTAGTTCAGTCCTGGTTTAGTCCTAGTTTACTCCTGTTTTAGTCTTGTTTTAGTCCTGTTTTTAGTCCTAGTTCAGTCCTGGTTTAATCCTGTTTTAGTCCTGTTTTCTTCCTGTTTTAGTCCTAGTTCAGTCCTGGTTTAGTTCTGGTTTATTCCTAGTTTACTCCTGTTTTAGTCCTAGTTCAGTCCTGGTTTAATCCTGTTTTAGTCCTGTTTTCGTCCTGTTTTAGTCCTAGTTTAGTCCTGGTTTACTCCTATTTTAGTCCTGTTTTAGTTTAGTTTTAGTTTAATTTGTGTATCATAATTTGTCTAATTAAATTTTTTAAAAGATGTTTATCGATCCATAATTCCAGTACGTTCTGCAGATCAACAGTTACAACCAGCTGCTTTAATTTACCGCACAGATCCCGCTAAAAGTGTCACAGTTGAGTAAACCTTCAGTGTTTCAAATCTCTACTGCTGGAATATAAGAATACACTTCCAAAGTTCCCCGTGAGGACCTGCTGTGAGGAGGATACACAGTGGCAGTCTTACTTGAGCAGCTTTGCAAAGTTTTTTTCTCGCTTTTGTGATCAGTCTGACTTCAGATGGAGTTACAGTGCTGCTTTATATTTACACTCCTTCACTCAGCGGTTGTTTTACATTGATCAAACTGCAGTATTTGAGCATCTTCTCCAGTCGCCCCATGCTTTTTTATGGGCTGCTGTGTGTTGTTTTCGCCTTCGTTATTGGCAGTGGTGAATTAACGATAATGACTGACACCACTGAGTCACTTTTCGAGTTTTGTTGGCATTACATGAAATCGTAGACAATAATTTACTTTAAAACCACTCTGATTAAACATTAGTGACCCTAACTTGGCATGGGCGTGATTTTAAAGGGAATACACATTGTAGATTTTGTTTTAACTCTAGACTAGTTTATTTTTTACCTTCTTGGGGCCTGTTTATACGAGAACGCTTTTGTGTAAAAATGACAAAATATTTTATCAGAAGTGCCTTTCATTTAGACGGTGACGGCGTTTTTGGGGCTTAAAAATGCAAAAAGCTGAAACCACCGTCCAGAGTGGAAAAGTTGAATACACTCCGCTGTAGCGTTTCCGTCTGCACTGCCCAAGATGCAAAACTCGGGTCAGATCTATTCATGTCGCGTACATGTTTACGTCACATACGTACAGAACACAGAAACAAACATGTCAGATCATTTCGTTGTGTTAGACCTAATAAACTTACAGGAGGCATCCCAACAAATGTACAGAATATGCAGAGATACTATTAGTGAACAGAGAAGGATCTGCAATCATCTCTGTCAAATTCTGGATGCAGCAGTTCATCACAGGTGAGCCAGACAGGTATGGACGAGACCTGGAGAACCAGTCGATGGTGGGACAACTTTGTGGAAGGAGTAGCTGATGAAAATGTGTGGCGTGAAAACTTCCGTGTGTCCAAAAATGCCCTTGTTATAAACTTATCCATGCGTTTGTCTCCAGTAGGTTAGATACTGTAATGTTCTGCTCACTGGTCTCTCAAAACGAGCTGTGAGACGCTGCAGAACATCCAGAACGCTGCAGCTCGGGTCCTTACTCGAACTAGGAAGTACGAGCACATAAGTCCTGTGCTCAGGTCTCTGCACTGGCTCCTGTGCCTCAGAGAATAGACTTTAAAGCAGCTCTGCTTGTACAAGTGTCTCCATGGCCGAGCACCAAAGTCCATCTGTGACATGTTAGTGTCATATGAACCATCTCGCACTCTGAGGAGCTCAGGGACCGGCCTCCTGCTGGTGCCCAGAGTCAGGACTAAACAAGGGGAGTCAGCGTTTCAGGTTCATGCAGCTAAAACCTGGAACAGTCTGAACATGTGAGACAGACTCTTCTGTGACGCTGTTTAAATCCAGACTCAAAACATTTCTGTTTAACTGTGCATATAACTGAAAGGTTTTCATTCCGCACTCTTCTCTCCAATTTATGTCTCTCTTTTTTAATTTTAATCTTCATGATTATTTATGTTTTGATTTGTTTTTATTATGATTTTAATGTATTTCTTATTCTGTAAAGCACTTTGAATTACTTTGTGTACAAATTGTGCTATACAAATAAACTTGCCTTGCCTTGTTGCTTTAAGTACAAATATATCCAGTCGTATTCTACACATTTTTGCATCACCGTATGCACACAGATTTCTTCCCAAAAACACTCGTCTAAACACGGAATAAAAAGTGAAGATGCGACACCACTTTTTTGTCTTCTGTTCAGACCGTCATCATATAAACGTAGCCTTATATCCATCAAAAGTGTCCCTGGAGATGTTCCATTCATACTTCTGTAAAGCTCTGTACATATAAGTTTAAATTATTAAAATGATGTGAAATAAAATAGTTAAAATACAATGTGCTCCGACCTGTGAGCAGATACATAGCAGTGAAATCACTCATGACAATGTAATACACGCAAAAACTATTGATTTAACTTTAGTTTGTGATTTAATTTTCTTCACTCCACATTTCTAAGCAGTCAATTAACATTAAACATGAACAGTATTAAACAAAAAGCATTTGGGATCATTTCTCTTCAATTTTCTCTCTCTCTGCCTCATTAATAGACTATTTAACACTAATCGACATTATACAAACTTAATTTTTTTTTTTTTATCGTTATGAGGCACAAAAATGGCTGAATCATTCAAATAAAACAAAATAAAGAAAAAGATATGGTGAAGTTGTGAATCTAAAGTTTCTAAATCTAAACTTGTGTCTGTCATGAATGAGTGAAAGTCCGCTGTGTACTGTCTGCATCTAATTACGGAGAAAATTTTATTGTCCAAGAATCTGGAAGTGCGCCTTTGCATGCTAGTTGCTGTTAGCTGTACCACTGGACCAAAACTCTGGTCTCTTAAGAGTTGTGAAATGGCTTCTAAACTAATCAGTGAATTATTAGCATGCACATAATGAATAATAATAATAATTTCAAATGAATTTATTCAGTTTTTCAAGTTTTTAAGAGTGTAAAAATCAGGTTTCGACTTGCCACTGACCAGGAAACAACCTCCCCAGGGCCCATAGACGCTGGTATTATTCCCAACTCCCCATGATCCCAGGCGTACGTGAGCTTCTTCTAATCCATATCCACCGTGTTTGTACCCACAGGCTCCAAAGAGGTGAACGCCACAGGGAGGTCGTTCACGGTGAGGAGCAGCCTGCAGTTCCAGGTGGACCGGCGAGATGATTCTGTGGCCTACACCTGCAGCGTGGAGCATGTGTCCCTGTCCAACCCGTACATGACCACGGAGGTTCTGGAGGTCCACTGTGAGTCGCCAATACAATTTCTGACCAAAACTACCACTGCAACCAAACAAATACTCTATATGTACATCATTTTGGCCATTATGCAGTTGGGAAAATATGGTTTAACAGGTTTGGTTTGTGTTTTAAAGATGCAACGTGGAACTTTTCTACTTGTCGTGATGGATTGCTTTGATTTTGAGTGTTGTATTTGTGTGTTTCATCATCAAAAACATACCTGGTGTTGTGTTTTGTTTCATAACACACAAACCCTACATATTTGAGATGATTTCTTCTCTTTAACAGAAAACTCTCTGTTCGACCTTATAGTGTCATGTGGTAATACAGGAAGTGCTCCACTGTGTTTTTAAACTCCATACACCTTCACTAGAATCATTTGGATGATTTCAGTTCTGGAATTGCCAATCTCTACAGAACTAAAGGTGAAAGGGTAGCTGTTACCTTGAAAAGTATCACGACTTGACATCACAAGGTGCAGGAAAAGACCATTTTTGAGCCTTGAAGATGCAGACAGACTAGGGCAGGAGTCTCCAACCTTTTTCCTCAGGTGAGCTACATGTACAAAATGAAAATTCCAGAGAGCAGTTGCAGGAAATAAAGAATACATAAGAGCCATGGTGAGACTTAGATGGGGTACAGTTAGATAAAACATAAACCATTATTAATTTATGAGTGCACAAAATCAGGCATCAAAATGATAGATTAATAATATGCATTTAATTAATCAAATTTGAGTTATTCAGGATAATATGTGTAATTCAGAAATCCCCTTGGCGAGCTACTTGAGAGGGGGTGGAGAACTACAGGTTGAAGACCCCTGGACTAGGGTCACCAGGCGTCTCTTTACCCTGGACAGTCCCAGTTTTGAGCCCTGCGTCCCCTGTCCCAGCAGATTTATCCAAAACCAGTGATTTGTCCCAGTTTTAGTAAGTAAGTAAGTAGGTTTTTTATTTATCTAGCGTTTTTTCACAGACATTTGTCACAAAGAAGCTTTACAGAGCATCATTCATTCAAGAATAATACAAGAAATGTCCCAGGTGTCTCTATTTTTGACCAATCTGATCCCTGCCAACCATAAAACAACGCATAAATTGTCGTTTGTTTAGGTAAAATACAGAAAAGCTCCTTAAAAATGACAAAAACACAAAAAAATGTGACTATACTGACTCACATTAGTGCTGAGTGCATAACAGTTTTCCTTAATTACTCACTCGTTTCACAATTTTATTATTACCAAGCAACCCAGGAATGTTCCAGCTGTTTTTTTTTTGAAAATCTGGTCCCTTAAACATGTGTGAATGAAACAAAACACAACTCCAGGTCTGTTTTTGAGGAGGTAACAACATTTTAACACGACTTAAAGCTCTCAAGAGTCAATTTTGCGCAATGCAGGACTTTTATCTGCCCTCCAACTCCTTTTCTATGGTAAAAAGTTAACAGATTTTATCACGCAATGTTTCCTCTCACAACAAGCCTGACTAAAATTGGATATTGTGACACCCTTAACTGACACACACACACACAAGCATTGACTTTCACTCCGCCCAGTCCCGGATCAGCAGCGAGGAGAGGAAACACGAGCCCAGATTACCTCTGTGTGCGCTGGGCTTTGGTTAGCATTTGAGCAGGATTAGTGCAGCATTAGTGGGCAGGTAAGGGATTAGAAAGGCAGAACACAGGGATCTGGGCCGGAGCTAAGAGATGCCCGCTGGGGAAAGAGCTAACTACCCGAGTCTTTGTCTGGGCTGGGTTTAAAGCCGCTCTCATATCGTTCCATTGTTTGTCCTTTTTGCAGATGCGCCGCAGTTGGAGATCAGAAACTCGCTGATAATTCCACAGGAAGGACAGTACTTCAAACTGGAGTGTGTGAACAGAGGGAACCCCATGTAAGATATGCACACTGTCACTGTGTCATGGGAGATTTTCTACACCAGTCACACTGCCATCTTCTGTTTTAAAGGGGGTTATATTATTGGTTTTAAAGACACTTTCTGTTTTTGTAAGTCATTCTGAGAAAAAAAAATCCCAGATTGCGAAAAATGACAGAAATCACCAGAGTGATTGACAGCACATAAAATAAGGTTTAAAAAGGTTATCTGGTAAATACAGTGCATCTGTCATGTGATAAATCCCTTTAGGACATGGGTCTCCAAACCTTTCAGGCTGGGACCCCCTAAATAACCACTGGACTGACCTGGTATCCTGTTGCACAATAAAATTGTCATAATTTCATGTTGCAAAGCCAAAAATGTGGCCTAATTTCAGCAAAATATACATAAATATATATATATATATATATCATAATTTTAAAAAGTGACATAATATGACAATATTGAATTGCTGTTCTGACAACAGGAATTGCCTGCCAAACATGCTGCAGAGTAGGGTAGAGTTAGCCTGATTCATCAGCCGGTTTCACTTCATGGAAACCGTCTGATCTTGCAGCATTAGGATTCGTTCACTTGATGGTAGATGGGAGCTTTTTATTTAACCAATTGCTGCTATTTGATTGTGATGTATGTAATGCGCTGGAACACTCAGTGGTGTTGTGTAATTGTCGGCACAACAGCAAACAAAGCAGAGAGTGAACAGGTCTGTCAATGATCATTGTCATTTCTGCGAGGTGAACTTGCAAATTAAAGGTGCAATAAAAAATGCAAAGTTTTTATTTGACAAAGGAAGTCCAAAGGAGGATAGCATATGCAGTTTGCTATCACAACTCGGGTTGGTTCAGCTCTTCGCTGATTGGCCGGTGTGCGGTCTACAGCGTCCAGGGTTCTTGCAAACCGTCTAGTGTATTCCGATTCCTGACCTAGTTGGTGGAGAGAAATGAAATTGAGCGGAGCCACTACGTGGCACCAGGCTGGCTAGGGTAGCGTAGAGGTAGTAATACATTACAATAGTATATTTATATATTTTACAATAATTAGCTTGTAGTTGACCCGCCCTCTGCCACGTGCCATGATTCTAACACGGCCTGGTGTAGCTCATTCCAAGATAATGTGTATATTATGCCAGGCCTGTACTGCAACCTTTAACCCCTCTGAAACACAGATGCACACTCCCTCTGGAGTTTGGTCTGGACCTGGACCTGTATCGTGCTAAATAATTCAACTAAATCAAACCTACATTCAAAATATAGCAGATATAAAAACACCTTGTTTCATGTCTCATTAATGTTTCTGTATTGTTTCAGAGCTGACAGACATTTTCCAAAAATTGACTAATGACCCTGTAACAACTCGCTGTAGTCCTTTGTGATCTTTCTAGTTGTGACGATGTTTTGCGTTCCCAGCCCAGAGCCAATCTTGTGGTCCAAAGACGGCGGAGACCTTCCGGACGTCGATCGGATGATCGTGGAGGGCACAGAGCTCACCTTCACTACGCTTAACAAGACGGACAACGGCACGTACCGCTGTGAGGCCAGCAATGACCTGGGCAGTGCCCGCGCAGAGTACATCCTCTTTGTATACGGTGGGTACAAGACACTGTGGAGGAGATGCACAATATTATTAAACATGATTAAACAGTTTGTAATGTTGTTTCTGATCAAATGCTGGTTGGTTTCATTCACCCATATGGTTAAGTTCCCATATTATTTTTTATTTTATGTTTTTTAAATGTGTAGAATCTGTTCTCACTGTAAAGGTCTGCTTTCTGTATTTAACTTCAGGTGCACAACCCCAGTACACAGCTATTTCCAGAGCTCCAACTTCCATTACAGTCCACTGAAAAGCATACAGTACACCCCCTCTGCTGTAAACATGAGGGACTGAACCAGTTTAAATGAGGCTAAAAAGCGTCCAGCATTGATATTAATATAAGCTCTAGGTTCTTTAGTGATGAAACCATGAAGATATTAAGAACAAGGCTGAAATGATTCGATCCAAGTTTATTTATCCAAGCACATTTTAGTAACAAGATGCTGCACAAAATGGCAATATAAAACAAACATTTAGTGAAGGTTGTATAGAGGATTTTCCAAGGAACGAGAAATCCAGCGACTGTTTGTCCTTTTTCAAATGTTGCGCATGCGTGAAACCACCCCCCCTCCCCTACAGCTCCCTACGTAGAAACGCCTTCTCCCGCCTCCTCACTACGCCAGAAACAGGTTTGTTTACAGCCGGTGAGCTGCACATGACTTGTAAACAACTAACTACAGTGTTGGTTAGGCAAGGCGGAGAAGTGAGGAGCGGGGGGAGCGGGTGTGCGGACATTTCGTTCGCGGACGAGAAGTGAGGAGCAGGGAGAAGAGCGGAGCAGGGAGAGAGGAGAGGAGAGAGGAGAGGGGAGCGGTGCGCGGAGATTCCGTGCCCGTAGAAGTGAGGAGAAGGGGGAAGAGCGGAACGGGCAGCGGGGACAGGAGTAGGAAAGGGGAGCAGAGAAGGTTGCGCGGAGATTCAGTGCGAATGAACTAGCTACAACACGCAGCAGCAAGCGGACTCTTTCTTTGCCTTGAAAATTACGTTTTCAGACATAGGATATCGCTTTCGTGTCCTGAAAAACGTTTGACTAGCTCTTGGAAATAAAGTACGTTTTCATAATAAGCAGAAGTTACCTGTCCAGGAGTAATTTGGCGACCAATGCGTCAGTCTTTAGACCCTGCGTCTGCTTCAGTCGCGCCATCGCTGGAATGAATCTACAAGAATCACCTTAGTTTGGCTTCGCTGCTTTTCCCCTTGTCTTCTTCTTTCAGCGACCTCAAAAACGGACTTTCTTTTGCGGCTAACTGCTCCTGGATTCTTGTCTGCCATTGCAACAAACTTTGTGCTAACTGCGAGGAAGATATAGGTCAAAAAAAGCCGCTAAGAACTGTTGCGTTGGTGGAGTAAACAGCGTCTGTGCGTCTTGCGTCTGTGGACTGCGTGACAGGCGTACGTAAACCACGTACCGGCGGCGCGCAGGCAGGTCAGTTACGCTAGAAACGTAGGGAGATTGATTGATAGCCTGTCAGCTAACAGATAACGAGGCGTGTCGTTATCTATTGGCAAATGTTTAGCTGGCCCCACCACGTCCAGAGTTGATGAATTTTATTCTCTTTTTTTTGGTCATCATAATTACAAGGCTACTGCACCTCTATAATGCTATCATTGACAACTTGAAACAAAAAAAACAAAAAAAAATCCTCCATACAATTAAGTCCCGGACAGATGGAACTAATACATGACAAATAATCAGAATTAATTCAGAGAAGTTACTTGCACAGAGACGTGCAAACACACGTGGTACATTTGTGACTTAAACAAAACCAAAACTTCAAGTCTGTTTTTTATCACTGAAAATCATAACATAGTAAAAACTCAAAAACAGTTACAAAATACTAGGGCTGTAGATGAAATTCTTGGATTAAAGACATGTCCTGCTGATCAGTTCGTCGACTAAAAAGGGGGCAAAAGCTCTCAAAACTGTATGTCAATGTATCTGTATCTCACTTCTGAATCAGGTTTTTAAATCTGCTTTTTTAACATGTAAATAACAAAAAATACAAAATCTTCAGGTAACTCACTCAGTAACTTCTCCTTTCTGTTTCATGTAAATCCTCATCATCTAAACACAATGATTAGTCGACTTATACAAAGTTTGGTTGACTTTAGACTGTATAAAAAAGTGGACTAAGTGAGTGTGACGTCACCCATAGCGTTCAGGGCTGCAAACGAAGCTCACGACGCTCAGCGAATTTGTAGCCAAGCTCTATGTTATGAATATGATTTTTTTTTTAAAAACACCAGAACGGGTTAATACGAACATTTTAAGAATAAAATAACAAGGATCACAGCAGCAGTTACAGAGAAAGGGGCGACAATATTCCAGTGTAAGTCGGAGCCGGAAACACCTGCATGGGAAGGTTGTTGAAGGTTGTATTATTTGTTTTTAAATCACTTAACTCACTCACGCCACAGTGCATCACTGATCTTTTAACCCCCTGCACAGTGCACCTCGGTCTCTCAGGTCAAACACTCTCAACCTACTGTCCGTCCCACCATCCCGCCTCAAAACCAGAGGAGGCCGAGGTTTCTCTGTTGTTGATCCCAAGCTTTGGCCTCTTCACCTGAGATCTTGCTCCTCCCTGCCTCACTTTAAAACTCTCCTAAAAACACATTTTTTCAAGATGGCATTCAACAGCCCATGAGCTCTACTTAAAACTATTATCTTTGTGTATGAAGTAACTCTTTTATGTAGTATTTTAGAACAGATTAATACAAAGACCAAAATGACAAGACTCACTGCGGTAGTTACAGAGAGGGGAGCAGTGTTTTTTTAATACAAGTGAACTGGAGCCACAGTTGATGGAGCAGAATCTTGCCCATGCTCAGTTCCTATTTAGAAGTGAGCAATGCGGCGGCTCGCAGGTTAACTATGTCGATTTATATACAGTCTATGCTACCATTAGTCGATTAACTACAGAAGAAACATGCTACATGGGTCTCCAGGAAGAATAGCTGATAACTAAGGTCAATTAAATAAAATCAATTAACCCGCCCAGGGACTAAAGGTGGAAATTAGCACTGGTACTACAACCTGGTACAATGCCTCTCCCCTGTTAATGTTAATGTAAATTGTGCACTCTCCCTGTCTCAGCATTGGGAAGGTGACTTTTAAAATGTATTCCCCTACAGATTACAGATTACATACCCCAAAATGTAGTTTGTAAGGTAATCCATTAAATTACTTAAAGTGAGTAACGTAATCTGAATACTTTGGATTACTTGATTTGCTGTAGAGAAGCAAAGACGAGGAAATCATAACATAACGATGTTTTGTCCGCTAAAAGACAATAAAAAGCCCAGACTTTTCTTAACAGTATTAAAAATATTATTGATAGAAGAGGAGGAGACACTTCCATGCAGCATGGTTTAGTCCTGTTAAATCCTGTTTTAGACCTGGTTTAAACCTGGTTTTAGACCTGGTTTTAGTCCTGGTTTAGACCTGGTTTTAGACCTGGTTTAGACCTGGTTTAGACCTGGTTTTAGTTCTGGTTTAGTTCTGGTTTACACCTGGTATTAGTCCTGGTTTAGTCCTGGTTTAGACCTAGTTTAGACCTAGTTTAGACCTGGTTTATACCTGGTTTATACCTGGTTTTAGACCTTGTTTAGACCTGGTTTTAGTCCTGGTTTAGTCCTGGTTTTAGTTCTGGTTTAGTCCTGGTTTAGATCTAGTTTAGACCTGGTTTAGACCTGGTTTAGACCTGGTTTAGACATGGTTTTAGTCCTGGTTTAGTCCTGGTTTAGATCTAGTTTAGACCTAGTTTAGACCTGGTTTAGATCTGGTTTAGACCTGGTTTTAGTCCTGGTTTAGTCCTGGTTTAGACCTGGTTTAGACCTGGTTTAGATCTAGTTTAGACCTAGTTTAGACCTGGTTTAGATCTGGTTTAGACCTGGTTTTAGTCCTGGTTTAGTCCTGGTTTAGACCTGGTTTAGACCTGGTTTAGACCTGGTTTTAGACCTGGTTTAGACATGGTTTTAGTCCTGGTTTAGTCCTGGTTTAGACCTAGTTTAGACCGGGTTTTAGACCTGGTTTAGATCTGGTTTAGACCTGGTTTAGAACTGGTTTTAGACCTGGTTTAGACCTGGTTTAGTGTCCGGCAATGAGTGGAATTATGGGGGGGAAAAAAAACTAAAAAGAAAAGGGGGATTTAGCCCAAAATGTAAAAACAGGAAAATACCACCATGTAATCCATTTATTTCAACAAAGTAACTGTAATCCAATTACCACTCATTGAAACAGTAACTGTAACCGAATACATAATTTGTACTCTGATTACGTAACTCCGGTACATGTAATCTGTTACTTCCCAACACTGCTCATTAAATAAATAAACTAAACTAAGAACTACAGCACTACAATATACCAATACAATATGTGACAATGTCATTTTAATTTTCCAAACCTCCAGCATCGACTGTAAACTCCCCTCGTGCTTGACATCTTATCTAACAATCAAACGTAAACATGACCTCAGACTCTGGGAGGTTCACACAGACACAAGGTTCAATTGAAACGTCTAATTTCCAGTGTTTGGGTCCATCCATGTGACGAGCTGAATATAGGCTTGGATCCTACAGACCATTTGGAAGTTCCTTTTTAGGGAGCGACCCAGACTCCTGACATTTAAATAAGTAGGTTTCCATCACTGACGGATGTAGACGAGATGGCTTTTGTTCGTGTGATGTAGGGCTTTTTTGGTCCGTGTGAACTGGATGAAAATTCCTTTAGTTTAGTTGGAATTTGTATAAGAAATAGGGCTGCATGTATTTGGGGGAAAATATTGAATGCAGTTTGTTTCTGACAAGTATTCTGATTTGATTAGAAATATATGTTTAAAAAGTATGATTTTGTTCAAGGTGCACAACTCCTGGAGCAGTAAAGGGAATATATTATCCAAAATTGACTTTTTGGATCTTTGTACCATTTTATATCATTGTTACGTCATCAAAAACATGCCTGAAGAGGTCTTTATATAGTTTTACTTTGTG